GAACTTCTCAAGAATATGAGCCAATAAATTTTGATTTTCCTGATGAGGATTTAATGGCAATTTCAATAGGAGAGTCAATTGCGTCCAATGATGAATATTGAAAGTTGACTTTTGATGGTTTTTCAAATGCTTTGGGACACGAAATTAGGGCAATTTTAGTTTCACCAGATGAAGAGCATTATCCGTTTACTAGCATACTTAATTTTGATTGTACAAACAATACAGCTGAGTATGAGGCATGTATTTTGGGTCTTAGAGCTGCCATTGAACGTAAAGTAAAAATGCTCAAGGTTTATGGGGATTCAACTTTAGTAATTTACCAAATCAGAGGAGAATGGTAGACAAAAGATTTCAAGCTAGTAAAATATCAGACACTGGTTCTGGAACTCATCAAAGAATTTGAAGAAGTGACTTTCGATTACATCCCCAGAGAAGAAAATCAAATGGCAGATGCCTTGGCAACTTTGGCAGCAGCATTTAAAGTAAATGAATATGCAAGTATGATGTCTATTAATATGCAGGATTATGGATATCTAGCTCATTGTCTTAACATTGAAGAAGAATAAGAATAGAAACCTTGGTACTATGATATTTTTCAATATATCAGATATCAGAGTTATCCTAAAAAACAACTGAAAATGATAAGAGAACTATCCGAAGAATGACATTAGGGTATGTACTCGATGGGGAAGTCTTGTACAAAAAGAGCCTGGATCAAGTCCTATTGAGATGTGTGGATACTAAGGAAGCTAAATTAATTCTTGAAGAAGTACACGAGGGAGTATGTGGTACTCATGCTAATGGGCATACTATGGTTAAACAAATTATGAGATTTGGATACTATTGGTCAACTATGGACATGGATTGTATTAATTATGCCCGAAAGTGTCACAAGTGTCAAATCTATAGAGATATGAAGCATACTCCTCCTCATCCGTTGCATGTAATGACAACTCCTTGGCCATTCTTTATGTGGGACATATGGACAAAATTTTCCCAAAGCTTCAAATGGCCATCGCTTTATTTTGGTAGCAATAGACTATTTTACCAAATGGGTAGAAGCAACTTCTTATGCGAACATTACTCAGTCCACAGTTTGTAAATTCTTGAAAAAAGAAATTATTTGTCGATATGGTCTGCCAAAGAGAATTATTATCGACAATGCTTTGAATCTGAACAAAAAAAATAATGAAATCAGTTTGTGAACAATTCCAGATAAAGCATCATAATTCCACCATTTATCGCCCAAAGATGAATGGAGCTGTTGAGGCAGCTAATAAGAATATCAATAGGTTTATAGAGAGGATGATTGAAACCTATAAGGATTGTCACGAGAAATTGCCATTTGCTCTGTTAGCCTATCAAACTTTAGTACGAACATCGAGTGGGGTAACTCTATTTTCATTAACCTATGGGATGGAAGCAATTTTACCTATTGAGGTAGAAATTCCCTCATTATGAGTTTTATCAGAAGTAAAATTAGATGAGGTAGACTGGGTACAAGCTAGATATGACCAGTTGAATTTGTTTGAAGAAAAAAGAATGAAAGCAATTTGTCATGGTCAGATGTAACAAAAGAGAATGACACGAGCACATGATAAGAAAATTCACCTCCAAGAATTTTAAAAAGGGGATCTTGTACTCAGAAGGATTTTACCTTTTCAAAAGGATTTCCAGGGAAAATGGATGCCAAATTGGGAAGGACCTTATGTTGTGAAAAAGGTTTTTTCCGGAGGAGCTTTAATCCTTGCTGAAATGGATGGACCTGAATTACCTTATCGAGTAAATTCAGATGCAGTTAAAAGGTATTTTGCATTAAAGAAAATAAGGATTTGAAGAATTCCATACCTTCATCATAATTTCGAGATCCTTTTGACAGAAGCTATACTCGAATCACTTTGTGGTGTGCCAGTTCAAAAGCATTTATGCTATTGGTATTTGAAGACGTCTACTTTGTCTTTACAAGTAAAAGTTTGCCATGTAAATTCTTTGCATGAATAAAAAGAAACATTTTCTCGTTAATTCTTTTTTACAAAACATCTTGATTTGAAAATTTAAAACATGTATTTTAATTTGAAATACATAAAAGCATGGTGTATTATTGTACAAAAAGTCTTTGAAAAATACAGACATTCTGAGGCTAGCAATGTTTTAACATATGGTGGCATGATACATGAAACATTGAAGTGCATATGAGGTTTCAGATACTTGATGATGATATGAAATATTTGTCATTAATTGAATGATTTTTCATTTGGAATTCAAGAAGAACAAAGACAAGTTTAAGTTCAACCAAAAAGGATCAATATGGTCGGTTGAGATAAAATGATTATGTTTGCTGCACCCATGATGAGACTAAGTTAAGAATGGACAACAAAAGGGGGTCTTTGTTCGAAGAAAAAGAAGATACCCTGAATTTTTGTCATTACACACATTTTAGGAATAAATAGGATCATGACATTTATAAATGCGTGATAGCAAACACGAAATAACATTTGCAGGTGTTTTCAGAAATTCGATCAATCCCGAAATTTGATTTCCACGAAAGAGTAGTCGAAGCAAATCAACCTTGAATCTGATCTTCACGGAAGAGTAGTGAAACAGATTCTTTCAAGTCAATCCGATCTCCACAGAAGAGTGGTGGAAACAAGCAATGCAATCAAGCCTTCACAAAAGAGTAGTGAAGCAATGCAAATTCAACCTTCACAAAAAGAGTAGTGAAGCAATGCAAATTCAACCTTTACAAAAAGAGTAGTGAAGCAAGATTAGATCAAAAGTTTGATCTCCACGAAAGAGTAGTGGAACGAATTTTTATCAAATAAAAAGCCACTCGACGAAAACTTCTTGTCTTTTCATCTTTGCTTTATTATTGTTAACACAAAATAAGCAAAGAGGGGCAGCTGTCGACATTAATTTTCGTCCGAGTGACATTTATTTTATATATACGTTATAAATATTATAATAAATATTATTATATTATAATTATATTATTATTATTATTCTTAATAGTTACAATTTTACAGGCCCCAAATATAAAGCCCAGATTACAACCCGAAGGCCCAAACTACAAGTCTAAATTCCAAAGCCCTGTTACAACCCAAACAACTATGTTACAAGCAATTATTATCAGGCCATGACCCAGTTCAAGCCCGGATTCAATCTGAATGGCCCAACAGGCCCAAAGAGCAGACCCAAGTTCAGCTAGGGTGAGTCACCACCATAGCTTCGGTGACTCACCGGGGTGTACTCCTTTAACCGGTCAAAAGAAAGCATCGAAAGCCCCTATAAATAGGGTGAGACTGCAAACGAACAAGAACAACAAGAAACAAGCCAAGGCAGTATCCAATACACAACAACAAAGCCAACAAAATAGAGAGAATAGAAAAAAGAGTCTTACCCTCAAAGTTTCAACCATTAACAGAAGCAAACAACGTCACCGGAGAAACTATTTTTTAAAGGTAAACTTTGTAGATCTAATGCTATAGGATTGTTTTTGGTAGAAAACAAGGTCAGATCTAGGTTCAGGGGAAAGAGAGCTTTATTTTGGTATAACTTTGTAGATCTACATGATTATTCTATGTTCACAAAGTGAAAAAAAAAAGATAAACTAGTCTTTGTGTTAGCCTATGTTAATGGTCTTTTGACTATGGGGAATGATGGTGATTTAATAGGCGAGCTAAAAACTATTCTTCATCAGAATTTTAAGATGAAGGATCTTGGTTATCTCAAGTAATTTGTCGGTATTGTGATTGTTAGATCAAAGGAAGGCATTGGGTTGAATCAGTGAAAATATGCCTTGAAGATTGTAGTTGATTTAGGTTTAAAGGGAACACGATGTACATAAACCCCACTTGAACAAAATCAGAAGCTCATGATCACGGTTGAATACGATAAAGCAACAAAGGCTTTGACACAAGGTGAAGTCCTTGAAGATGTTGGGATGTATCAACGGTTTATTGGTCGTTTACTTTGTTTAACACAGTCATAAGGTATATGAGGAAAAATAATGACCAAGGCATCTTTTTTGCAATAATACTCAACTAATGTATTTTGTAATTCTGATTGGACATCATGTCCTATGATAAGAAGATCTGTAACAAATTACTGTACCAAGATGGGAGAATTGTTAGTATGTTGAAAGTTAAAGAAATAACATGTTGTGTGAAGATCATCAACAAAATTCGAGTATAAGGGAATGACTTCAATAATAGCCAAGTTCTTGTGGTTGAAAGGTTTGATTAATGAGCAAGGGATTAAACACGATGATCTAGCAATGGTAGTTTTTGATAATCAAGCAGCATTACAGATTGCAGCTAATCTGATTTATCACGAACACAAAAAATATGTATAGATACATTATCATATTATACAAGAAAATATTCAAAAGAATTTTATAAGGATTCATTATGATCAACAAACCGATATACTGAACCAAAGATCTTAAAGTTAGCATAAACATTTGTTATTCAAGTTGGGGGTAAAAGATGTATATCACCCACCAATTTAAGAAGTGTTAAGAAATAGTTAATTAGTTATATTTGTTAAGAGCGGTTAGATAATGGTTTTAAATTAGTTGTAAAGTTATATATAAAGGTGCAATTGAGTTTCACTGTGATCTAGTTTTTTTTTTCAGAATGATAAATTAGTTAGATAATGTTAACTTTTGACATGTGATTTTCATTTTGTAGTTGTAGGGGATGTTTTGTAGCCCTTTTAGTGGATATTCTTAATAAGTTATTTTTATTATCGGAGACAAAAACAATTGTTTCTAGGTATCACCGTTCACTTCAGTTATACCAGAGTTAACATTAATACTTATTTCTTTTGCTTTAGTTGCTATTGCTAGATATTGTTTCATGACACTGTAAAGTGCTTCTAAACTATTCATGTAATCATGTTCCTTGACGAACGTGTTCATCGCTTTTCATATTTAATCATTTCTTTTAATAATGTTTTCTCTTTATCACTGCCACATTGCATTTCCCTTGTGCAAACTTAGTTCACTGTTCCACTGGCTTCATGCTTTCCATATCAATATTGTTCGTTTCAGTCGGGCAGTGCCTGCATGTAGGGCACGAAGAATGTGAACCAAGCCATGTATCGATACAACTAGTATGAAATCCGTGGTTGCACTCTGGCAAAATACGGAGACCCTCCCCGGCGGTGAACTCCGACAAGCATGTAACACAAGCGGTGCCGAGGTCAGGCCGTTTCGGTTCGGTTGCGTATTTTACGACCGGGAAGGAATTTAAGACTTTCTGCTTAACTCCTCTATTGGCTAACTTGGGCTCAGCAGCAGCTGAAACTGAGCCTCTAGTTCCACACTTGACCATGCACAACAACCCTGAAGCGGAAATGATGGTGCAAACGAGGGCTAGGAGGAGAACAATGGCTGCATTTGTATGGATGATGTCATTGATGGAATAACTGTGCCCTTGAGCTGGGGAAATTGCCGGGTAAAGAGAGGAGTGTAAAATAAATTTTCTTGAATGGAAGCTTTGAAGCAACTCCTGGGAGAAATGGGTGGATGTTACTGAAGTTGCCATATATAGTTTCCAAGTGTTTTTCTGGTTCAAATGGCTCAGGAGTTGGTTCCATTGAAGGATTTTATACATAAAAAAAAAGTAAACTCCAAGGTTTTATTCAACAAGTTTCATCCCCCACTATGCCTTGTGTAGCTCAACGTATAATCTTTTTTAATATTGCTGAAAGGTCAATTTATCTTTTCAGCAGCCAGAAAAGTAGCCATTGCTGCTTTCCATGGAAAATCTAGTTACTGGCCGGTATTCATGTTATCCCAATTTTCAAAGTAGAGTAAGTATTAACAACAGAGATTGATTAAGTGGTAAGTAGTTTAATATCACTTAAGTAAAATCTTAAATTCGAGTCTTTATGTGTGTATAAAATATCTGATGTGAGACTTATCCACTAAAATTAAATATATAACATTGGTCGATCCGAATTGTCCAATCATGAAACATGCAGCATGTTAGACCCTCTCTTCTTTCTTTTCTTAATTATATTGTTTTGTTCGAACATATCATCCCTTGATAAGCTGAAAGTGGAAGGCAATCAGGAAAAGGTAACAAAAAGCAATACTAATAAAATGTTAAACTTTATGATGAGATGGTTCAAGTGGTAAATAATTTATTATTTTTTAAATAAATTTTAAGTTGTATGTAAAAAATCTTTATCCGGAAACTCACCTATTAAAATTAAGTGTACAACACGGATCAATTCAGATTAATAAAAATAAATTCATACAAAATCTGGAGGGGAAAAAATGCTAATGTCGGATAAAGGGGAAAAAAAAAGCAATGAGATTAAGGTTATGACGAGACTAAACCTTGCATTATTTTATCTTAAATAACTAACCATATCGGGAAGGAAAAGATCACCATCCAATAGATAAGGAAAATGCAGTTTATAGGTAAAGGAAGATGCACTATAGAGGTATTAGTACAAGAACGAGTTTTAGAATACTGTCATAGTATACAAAAATTATTATTATAAATTTTAATTTGAAATTAAAAAACAACAAAATCCACGTAAAAGTAATTATTATTTAAAATAAATCATATTTATTTATTTTCTTAATCTAAATTTAATCTTTTGAATAGTAAAAAACTACCAAATAAGATTAATTTATTATTAACTAATATAGAGGATAGATAATACCCATATCAAAAGTGATATAAATGTATACCACACATTTTGATTAAAATTCAAAACTAAAGAAATGGACAAAAATTTTGAATGTTAAGTTTACATTAAATTCATGGTCCATCTTTTTTTTCATTATATTTTTTAGTAACAAATTTAAAAATTCAGATTAATTAAATTTTTGGGTAAACTATATGACCCCTTATGTTTCCGATCCATCCAATTTTGATTATCGGTTAAAATAAATTTGATGACGCCCTATTCTCATGCATGAGCACAATTAAATCTCTAAAAATTCTTTATACATCTTAATAGATCCGGGATGAATAGAGATCAATCTACCATAAGCTTTACTAAAAATATCCGTTCTTAACTCAAAATTATCATATACATAGATTCGTTTACAAAAATGAAAGAATACATCCTAATTATCAAGGAAATCGGAATTAAAATCATTATCGATACAATCGCATAAGTTCTGAAAATCAATATCAATAGGTTGAAATCTCTTAATCCTCAAAAGGAAATGGAAAGGGCTACAAGTTTTGGTCAGCAAATTTCTGTTCTTTCGGACACTAAAATGAGCGTTCTTAGCTCTTAATACACCAAAATGAGAGAATAAATAGGTGTTCAATATCAAATGATTAAGAGTTATCTTTGAACAAATATTGCCTTATACTTATCTCAGATTAATAAAAAAAACCAAGGGTCGATAAATTAAACGGGTTGGATAAAATGAAACGATCTGGATAAAAATGAAATATCACAATTTTTAAAAGAAAAAATGTAGTAAAAATCGACTATTACACATATATTATTGAGTAATAATAAATTAACTGAAAGAAGACAACTCGAATACAATTACCACAGCTACAAACCACGGGCGACGTACACTGCACAAAGAATTTTACAGATTTATTGACAAATAAAAGAAAACACAAACATGATGCAATCCTTACATACATTCAATGTCTGCAAGAGCAGTTTGAGTGAGATGATTGATGTCTGGGCCATCACATCACATGGAGGAAGAATCTGGACATGGAGGAATACATATATCAGTAATCCCTTCCAGCATCATAGCTACAGTATTTATTGAAGGACGAAGAGCTGGTTCGTCTTGAATGCACCAGAGTGCCACCATCACCATTCTTTCCAAGCTTTCCTTGTCCACTTGTTCATCACCCACAAGCTTATCCACCTATCTTTCAACCAAGCATCTATACACCAGTCTCGACAGAATGATCTCCTCTGGTTTTGACACATTGGTGTCCAAGTTTCGTCGGCAAAACACCGTTTCCAGTAGCACGATTCCGAAACTGTAAATGTCGGCCTTCACCGAGATCGGAGTGTTTCTATTCCATTCTGGTGCCATGTACCCTCTAGTTCCCCTCACTACTGTGAATGTCCTTGTATGATCTCCCATCAACAGTTTTGCCAGCCCGAAGTCTGAAATTTTAGCTCTCCATGAATCATCCATCAATATGTTTTGCGGCTTTATATCACAGTGAATGATTGGTGTCTCACATTCCTCATGTAAGTAGAGGAGTCCTCTAGCAACATCTAGGGCTACTCTCCTTCTTTCATTCCAAGATGGGCGCCTTGTTGACTTGAAAAGTAGGTCTGCAAGGGACCCATTGCCCTTGTACTCATACACCAAAAGCCTCTTGGAATCCTCGACACAGTATCCCAATAGTCGAACTAAATTTCAGTGGTGAGCTCTACCGATTGCTCTTGTTTCTGCTTGGAACTCTTTTTCACCTTCTTCCACTAACTTCTCCAGTCTCTTCACGGCGATCGGCTTTCTTCCTCGGTCTAGAGTTCCTTTGTAGACTGCTCCAAACGATCCCTTACCCAACTCTTGTTTAGATCCATTTGTGGCTCTCTTGAGTTCCTTGTATGAAAACGACGTCAACATAAGCTCTCTGGTTAGGCCCAAATCTCCCATTTCCAGCAGCCTTTTGTATCTTAGAACTCGAAATTTATAGATGAATACACCAGAGGCTGTAAGAAAAGCACATGAACATGCAACGAGAATGGAAGATAAAACAAGAATCTGCACGACCGAAATTTCCCGTTTGATTAGGAACTTTAAATCAGGGGAAGCAGTGTCGTTATTTGCTTCAAGGCTTATGATTCCCACCTTCAATAAAACAGTGGTATTCATTTGAGCATCGATATCTCGTAGCAAATACCTGAGTGGAAGCTTTTGTTTCTTGCAAACTCCATCGAACTGCGCTGCCTCGCAATTGCAGTCTTCCAGACATGTTCTGATGCAGGCATCCTTGCTCAATCGCTCTTTACTGTAAAATCTACCCGAAGTCCATTCTATACCTTGCATTGAGGTGATGTTATAAAGGGGTATATTGGCCTTCCCTCCTTTGCAGTGTGCTTCCGAATAATTTCTCTTGCAGCCGATTGTGTTCTGATTAGGATCGATAAAATCAGTCCCGGGAAGGCATGCACAGTAAGGCCGGTTATCATTGAAGGTACAATAGCTGTTGAAACCGCAAAAGCCTTTGATTTTACAGGAATTTACCAACGCACGCAACATTGCGTAAGTTTGGAATCCACCATTTGGCTCAAACACATGAGCATATAACCGGAAATTCCCATCAACATCAAGGCTTGCTCTGTAAACAATACTCTTGTTGTTGTTGCTGCTGCTCTCGGTGAAGTCACTGTAGCTCTCCTCTTGATAAGATAATTGAATTGTTCTGTAGACGGACGAATCAACGTTGTTGATGAGTTGTACGACGCCTGTCGAGTTAAGGCGAAGCGACGAATTCGTCTTAAAAGTACCTGTGCTCCAGTAGGCAGTTGTAGGAGAATCTTCGGATTCTAGTGGGTATAGAACAAGATTCCCATCGTTTTGCATACTGAGATGATACCTTCCAGCTGAGGGATCATTTTCTGATAAACTGGAGATCAACTGACTATTAGTTAGTAGACTCTGACCACCTAGAATGGTATCAGTAGGATGCTGGAAACTCTCCCAAATGATATGATTATCTTTGTTGTAGATAACGAAATTGCCTGAATCTAGCATGGAGGCAGAGTAGGCATCCGAGTGGTTTCCATTAGCAATAAACATCTTCTCTCCGCTCTCATCCGTCGAAAGAATCACTCCTTTCTCATTTAACTTCAGAGTAGCATCTGAAGTGAAAGGCGGATCGTCACGGTTTGCTGTCCATATAACTTTGTTAGCCTTCTTTCCATTGCCGTCCAACCAAACTCCAACATAAAGGCCATAGCCTCGATTGTAAAAACCGAACGCAAAGCGACGAGAAGGCGAAGTCCATGATGTTGTTTGAGTGGCCGAGGAAAGCGAAGCTCCCAACGGAATGATGCAGCTTGACTGCCGCACACACAGAGAAGAAAAGAGCAAAAGAAGAGCCGACACCAAGGACATGGGAAATAATCTGTGTGTCTCTTCTAATTTGGAACTGTTCCAAATAGATGGCTGAGGTCTCAAATAAGAGTTTTCTATGGAAAAAGATTGGAAAAATAATGACCAAGGCATCTTTTTTGCAACAAGACTCAAATAAATGTATTTTATAATTCTGATTGGACATCATGTCCTATGATAAGAAGATCTATAATAAATTACTGTACCAAGATGGGAGAATTGTTAGTATGTTGAAAGTTAAAGAAATAGCATGTTGTGTGAAGATCATCAACAGAATGAGTATAAGGGAATGACTTCAACAATAGCCAAGTTCTTGTGGTTGAAAGGATTGATTAATGAGCTAGGGATTAAACACGATGATCTAACAATGGTATTTTCTGATAATCAAGCAACATTATAGATTATAGCTAATCTAATTTATCACGAACATAAAAAATATGTAGAGATACATTATCATATTATACGAGAAAATAT